TGTAACATGTACCGTACCGATTTTCCAATATATATAAATATTCATTAATTAACACTTCATATAAATAGTATATCTAAGCTTTTTACATATGATCAAAGGTTTGTATTTAAATTGTCACATAGGAATTGAATATTATTCACTATGTTAATTTATAGATTCCATCATTTCCGAATCTTGGGCATTTGACCAACCTTACGCTGATAACACACCAACATCTCCCGAACTAATTTTGACGCCAGATCATCCAATCATTGATGAGAGTTTCTCTATAATTGACGACGTGGAAAGAGGAAATGCAAGAGATATGAATATTGAGCATGGGAGCTCTTCTTATTGGGATATTGGTGATCCTATTTTCATGTGCATAGATTGTACATCATATTTTTGGTTCGAAGAGCGAATAGTAAGCATTTCTAATAAAAAGAATCCAAAATATTCTTCATGTTGCAAACATGGGAAAATTAAACTGGCTACCGTTGGACATCCCCCGCGCCTACTTGATTACATGCTCAATGGTGATAGTAAAGAAAGCAAACACTTTCAGAAAAATATTCGATCATATAATTGTATGTTTTCCTTCACTTCCTTGGGTGCACAACTCAAAAGAGATGAGAATACGGGAAGAGCTCCCCCTTTATTCAAAATAGGTGGCCAAAACTATCACAGGATTGGGGGTCTACTACCTAACCATGGGCTTCGTCCATCTTTTGCACAACTCTATATTTACGATACTCAGCAGGAGGACTTCAACCGAATAAGAGCAATACGGTATGTATTATTATTTGAACAAGTGTATGCAAAAATAGGTCCTTTTAAATTTAAATCGTATACATATCATATAGAGAGTAATGAATGAATTGACAGGAGTGTCTTGGAGATGGACACATTGCACGATAGCATTGTTGCCAAGTTAAGAGGAATGTTGGACGAACACAATGTTTTGGTTAAGTCTTTTCGCATGGTTAGAGACAAAATTAATGAAGGGGGGGATTTGAATGTTAAGCTCAGATTGATTGGGAATCGAAAATCAGATCCCAGGAGATATAATTTACCGACCGTCGATGAGGTT